GGTATGTGAATGTTCACAGTAGCTTTATTTATAGTTGCCCAAACTGCTGACAACAAGTGATGAATAGATATATTATGGTATATCCATACATTGGAATACTTACCACTCCAGAATAAAATGAAATGGGCTACTGACACACGCAGCAAAATGGATGAATCTCAAAAGTAACATGCTAAGTGAGAGAAGCCAGTACGAAAGTCTACAGAATGCATCGTCTCATGTATATGACCTTCTACAACTGGCAAAGCTGTAATGACAAGCAAAACATCAGCTGGGATGGAGGGACGGGAGTAACTGCCAAGACACATGAGGGAACTTTGTGGAGTGACAGAAATATTCTATATGTTAATTGTGGTAGTGGCTGTACACTGCTACATATTTGGAATAAGTTGTTGACCTGTGTGTACACTTAAAATAGATGCATTTTAAAAATCACATATGTTTTATCTTTTCATTCACCTAATATTCTGTGACTGCCTCTAATGTGTACTTTCTGTCTTTGCTCTACTAGGCAGTGAGCTCTACAAGTACCTTGAGGTGGACTTCAGAGTTGAGCCATCATGGATTTTATGGAGATTATGGCATCTAAAGGGGTAATAACAGCTGTGTAAACATTCAGTTGAACAGGTGCCTAGGAGGAGATTTGGAAACCAGTTTGGGAAATGGGGACTTCTATAAGAGCTTCAAGGCAAGAAATATATCTTGAGAAATGCAATGGGCTGGCCATTTCCTGAGAATCTGTTGCTATTATTGTCACTCAAAATGATTTGCATCAGTTCCAAGTCCATAACCATCCCAATGAAAACGTCCTGAAACAATTTTTAAAATTCTTCATACTAGGTTTTTCACTCTCTAATGTGTAAATAGATGAATCGTTCCATTAAGTAGTTGCTTCATTTTCTTGGTGAGAAAACTGAGGCTCAAAGAAATTAAATGCCCAGAGTCAGGTGCTGAAGCAGCAAGACTGGAACCTAAGTCCTTTCTCCTAACTTCATGGATCTTTCCAGTGCCCCAAGCCTTAGAGGAATTTCTGCCTAACTTGCTTGTCTATTTTCAGGCTTAAAAAAAGGAATGTTAGGGCCGGCTGAGTGGCTCAGTTGGTTAAGAGCTCGCTTGGGAGCACCAGCTCTGAGCAGCAGGGCTGCGGTTCGGATCCCATATTAAGGGCCAGTGACACTGCACCCTCTACAGCTAAAATGGTGAACAACAGCTCTACCTGGAGCTGGACTGCTGTGAGTCGCCTGCGATGGCGTAGGCTGCAGTGGGGCTGCAGTGGGCTGCCGTGAGCTACATGAGTGGCTGGCAGCCAGTGAGAGCTGCCGTGAGCCACCGTGAGTGACCGACCAATGACAGGCGACCGATTGCCTCAGCCAGGAAGAGCGCAATGATCATACCAACATGGGCCAGTGAAGCGACGTCCTCCACAACTCGACTGAAGAACAAAACAGCAATTTGTCTACCTGTCTGTTCCCCTTCCCCGATTCTCCA